AATGTGGACACGTGCACTAAGTTTGAACGTTGCAGTTGCACTAGGTCGCATGAAACCTATACAATATCTTTATTCATCGTTATCGATATTGTCATTAGTCGTTGTAGATTAGATTAATACTTCCCTACAATTTCATGCAGTACTTATCTAATGTGTAGATGCTTTAAGATTGTTTTTTTCATAGTTTAAGAAACCCTGGTTTTTAACGACCGTACCAATTTTCCGACAATCGCAGCGGCAGCTGATTGTCTGGTGTGTGCGTTTATCGCAGACGACCAGTCGAGGAGTGCGCGCGTTGACCCACCGTCGTTGTGTTATCTAACTGATAGCGGGCAACGTGTGCATTCCAAACGGTCGCTTTTTTCGTATTTTTTTATTTTATGTACTTTCAATGTTTTTCTTCGTTTTATTAAGTTGTGTGACGATTTCAGTGCCACCGAAAGTCTGTATTTTGACAGAAATGCTTAAGATGGTACTGATCGCATTTTCGTAAATTATATGTTTTTTCATTGGTTAACCATTATTCATTCGTTTTTTCGTCAAATCATATGCAAGTAGATACATTCGTTCTTTTTTCTTTTTCGCACGTTTTTTCGAGCTATTCGGTCGCTCTGTGCTGTGTGCCTTGTTCAGTCAATTTTGAGTATAGGTATTCGTTCTCATATTCAAGTCAATACATTCATTCAAACATCATATTCAATCATTTTGTGTAGGTACATCATCTGTGAATTGTTTTCTGTAAGTATCGTTCAGTCATTTGTTTTCGTTCATTTCATTAATATTATTCCCCAATTCAGGGCCCACAACGAGGTACTTACAGAAACACGTGAATTTTTCCATTGTGATTTGCATGTATACAGTGATTTTTTCGTCTGAGTTGGTGGCCTATTAGTCGTACGTCACACATTTAGTTGTTATTATATTGTACTTTTTATTGTTCAAATGTGTGCATCCTGAGACCGGTAGCGTTTGGTTTAAAGCCGCTAATAGACACCAGCTGTACAGGTAAACAACTGACGAGCTGATCTAAATTATTATTCAATCTTATTTTTTATTATTTACTGTATACCTACCATTGTTTTATATTATTTGCGTATATATGTTCTCTTTTTATTTGCTGTATTATTGCAAGCCAAGGGGCTAGGTACATTATATTATATAATATTAAATTAATATTTGGGTTATCTATTTTTTTTTAATTCCTTTATTATTCATTTAAGGTCGTTGGTGTAATATTTATAACGAGAAATGTGGAACCTGGTACACATCAATTCGGTGTCCAACCAGACATGACGTTTGTATCTTTGGTGACGAAAAAGAAAAAAGTTGTGCTGGTATTGTCTTCAATGCACGATGATAATGTAACTGATGAAGGCACAGGTAAACCATACCAAATAATGGATTACAACGCTACTAAAGGTGGAGTAGACACAGTAGATTTGATGTGTGCCAGATGTTCCACATCGAGAAATACTCGTAGTTGCGGCCACAGATTATCATAAACTAGATTGCTAACTATTGATAATACGTGAAGCGAAGTTCCGAAATTTTATCTGAGGCCAAAAGTATTATCAATTATTATCACAGTACTAAATTTAGATCATATACTATGGATAGAGCTACTGGCTAAATATTTGAAGCCAACATAACTATGGTGAATTGTGGCAAATACGCATGCGTGCAATGTACATCGAGACGGCCCATAGTTTAGCTGTTGGCCGTAATCACAGCCGTAATTTTGACAGTGATAACAAAGAAACAAAATTCTTGTTGTTTTTTTTATTTAAATTTTAAGTTTAAACCTGACGTTAAACTAAATTATTATTTATTTTAAAATGAGTAATAAAAAAAAAAGAATGCCTGTAGGGTTTGCCTTAAAACTCCAGCTATGCATCCAGGAATCTCTTTACACTCGTAAGTATTTAAATAATAATCAAATCAACAATAAGTACCTATCTAAGTAAATTATTTTGAAAAAGTTCTTACACTTGCACAATATTTTTAATATATGTCACTGTTTTATATTTATTAGATTTCCTAGTGACACTAAAATTCGACAATTGTCGCTCACAGCTTGTGGCATTCGAGAAGAGGATATCAAACACAACTTAAAACTTTGTTCACTTCACTTTGAAGAAAATTGTTTTAAATCTGGTGCAGTAAGAAGATCCTTGAAACCTGGTTCAATACCAACTAATCTTTCAAGTAGAACAAAAAGTTTTTTTTGAATCTGGGTATTTATCATTAGTTTTTATTTAAAGTTAAAAATTACATAATAAGTAAAACACATTTTTTATTCAGATCATTTTGTAACTTGTCAAGTGCCAATTCAATGGAAATACAACCTGATGATCAAGTTGCTTTAACTTCAAGTATAACAAAAAGTCTTTTTAAATCTGGGTATTTATCAATAGTTTTTATTTAAAATTAAAAATAACATAATAAGTAAAACACGTTTTTTATTCAGATCATTTTGTAACTTGTCAAGTGCCAATTCAATGGAAGTAAAACTTGATGATCAAGACACTTCAACTGTCTTCGAAGTTTCCAGTACTGAAGTGTGCAATGCTCAAGTATCCAGTTGTGAAGCGTTCAATACAGAAATGACTGAAGATTCTTATACAATTACTCCCAAAAGAAAAACGAAGGACGTGTATTATGTAATGTTTAGAGGAGACGAGTGTAAAAAAAGATTGAAAAATCTTAAAGATTCATATAGGAGAAACAAACTGGCAAGAAAGCAAGGAACTGGGTCAAGTGCGTCTACCAAACCAACAAAATGGTCCTTAGCACCATACTTGAGTTTTTTAGATAATATACCTCAAGAAAGAGAGTAAGTTGTAATAAGAAGTTATATTTTTATAAAATTATACAATTTTCCTATTAATTATGCAATTGATCCTAGCTTGTAAATTTTGTAATACAACTAATTATGGTATTTATATTTATTTTTTAGCTCAACCACAAATTTCCATGATGAAAATTATATTGAAGATGAAACATGTGTCGAAGATGTTCAGAAAGAAGGTGACATTAGTATGGAAGTTCCCATCGATACAACAAAAATAACTCAAAATTCAGCTAACAATGAAAAAAGAAAATATATAACAGACATTTTTGAAAAAAAGATCTAAAGAGCGAATGTTCTAAAGTTAACTTCTGTAACCTGATGTTCTGTAAACTCAAAATGTAGTCAAATTGACCACGGTTGAGACGAAAAAATTCCTTTGGCTTTGGATTAACCAAGTACTGTAAATAAACATCATCGTCGTCTGCTTCTTCTAGTAAAACACATTGAATTAGTTGGTTATTATCCATATTTGTGTTGGTTATAAGTTAATATACTTGATATAATATTATATATTATGTACTTAGATACGAACTTAAATAGTCGACATTTTTTAAGTCAAAACAAAATTACCTATCACAACTCTCAAGTGGCATAAGCATTTGGCTATGGCCTATCATTAAGACTAGAATACCTATTCTATATTTTAACCTATTATAGTCTTTGTGCTACGATTATTGATTATAATATTATTTTAGTCCACCGCGAACACGGCTGCGATTATTATTCAGTCGTAGACGCGGTCGCCTAGCCAAACCGTATCTTTAGACCGCTCGGCCACCTCGTCCCCCACTATTATGAATCTTGCCACGTTTCTCTCGTATATATTTTATGATGTCGTTTTGTTTCTCTTATATATTATTGTACTGTATTATATTGTAAACGTTAACTGGTTAGTCTAATGTGACTGATTTTGTACTCTTATTTTATTCTTTATTTTATATTTTATTTTATATATTTATTGAGAATTTTGTTTTATTTTGCGAAAGGATGTACCTAACCAAATCTTTTTGTTTTATTCTAATTTTGAAAATTGGTTCACTCCGAATTTAAAACATAATTATTTATAACAAATTAATTTGGTTTTTACACTATAGAGAGTTAAGAGCTATTTAAGATCAACAATGAAAGAAGAAAGACTAAATGCATTAGCTGTTCTCAACATTGAATCAGAACTCACAAGAGAGTTAGACTACAAAGATATTATAGAAGATTTTGCCAATAAGCAATCTAGAAAAAAATTATTGTAATAATCTATTTATAAATAATCATTGTACCTGTTGTATTCATTTTTTTTGCTGTCTATAATAATATAATATGTGTTCCTTATACCTACATTTTAATAATAGTATTTAAAATATGACAAATTTACAAATAAAAGCTGAATAAAGAACTATAACTAAAAATATATTAAGAAAAATCAAAAAAGTGGATCTAATTTTTGGTTGGGGGGGGGGGCGTAAAAATATTGTTACCCAGTTCGCAAAAATTGTAAATACGGCCCGGCAGTGGCGTAGTGTGTGTGTATGATGTGTAGTGTGTATGTAAGGTACTATGTACAATAACTATTTCAGTATCTTCACGATTCATTGTGATTGTCGATTGATTTTTATGATTTATCCACAACACCACAGCCGCGCTACCTAGAATCCGTTAATACCTCAATATATTAGCACAGATTAGGTCTGTGATATTAGTAGGCGATTGCCTACAGATAGGTACAGGCGGGTACCGATGTACAGTGACGGTATACCTACTTTATCGGTAATATCAATAACAAAACCAAAACATATAAAGCTCGTAAACCTTAACGGTCGTGTACTCGTGTACTCATCATTCGTATATATCGTTTATTCTGCTGCGTAGGTATCTGTTTTATTATTGAAAAATCGGTTATGTAGATATATTAGAGTTGGCGGTATGTGAAATTTGTCTACCGGTATTCGGCATGTGATAAGTGATTGTATAGTAACAGTACAGTCTTTTTCAATCTAGACGGTTGTGTTTTCCCTTCAGTGCTCTCTTATCTCCTTTCCTACGGTCATTAAGCTATAGTGTTAGATTGTACTTGCAATCTGTCTAATCTTATATTTATCGAAAACGTATCCCTATTTATCGTTATTTTTGTTCAACTCGTCCTATTGAGGTTACTATGTCTACAGAGTGCACAAATTGTCACGACTCTATAATTCATGATGAAGATTCAATTGTTTGCTCCACGTGTACTGGCGTCTTTCACTTTTTCTGTGCTGGTTATAATGAAAATGCTTTTAAAAAACTTTCAAATAATTCTAAAATGAGATTTGTCTGCAATAAGTGTAAAACAATTGGTTCTGGTAATAAATCTAAGCTACCTGACAAAATAAATGATGAAAATGTTATATCGAAAAAAAAATTTGAAGAATTAATTACTTCGGTAAACTTCATGGGTAATCAATTTGACGATTTTAGTAACAAAATGGACACTATTTTGAAAGAACTCAAAGACTTAAAACTTGAAAATTCTAAAATATTATCAGAAAATAAATTACTTAAAGATGAAATCAGTATAATAAATCAAAAAATTGATGAATTGGAACAAAAAAGCATTGGAAATGCAATTGAGCTCAAAGGCATCCCAAAAACTGTAAATGAAAATTGTTGTGACATCGTTCAAGTTATCGCTAAAAAATCCAATTCTAATATAACGCTAAAATCTGCCTACCGAATTCATTCGTCTGATAATAAAACAAACATCATAGTTGCTGAACTTGAAACTTCTGATATGAGGAAAGATTTTCTTAGTAAAGTAAAATCATTGAGATTGAATGCAAATATGATTCATAATAGCTGGTCAACGGACTCAAAAATCTATGTAAATGAAAGGCTCACCAAGAATAGAAGAACATTGTTTTCAAAAACCAGACTGGCTTGCAAGGAAAAACGGTACAAATATGTTTGGGTTAATAACGCGGAAATACTGGTTAAAAAGGATGATGGTGAGAAAACTCTAAGAATCAAGTCTGACAAGGATATAAATAAGTTGTAAGTTTTTTATACTTGCTTTATAAAATATTTCTATGTTTTCTTAAAATTCTAATAATTATATACATAATCACTTTTTACAATGGAATTTAACATTTTAAAAGATATTAATTTATTAAAAAACATAAATACTGTAATTTTAGATAACTTTAGTAATTTACCTACAAATATAATGAATAACAATAATTTATCTATTTTCGTAATGAACATTAGAAGTATAAGGCGACATTTTGATGAGTTTGTGTTATTGTTAGACACCTATACATTAAGTTTTGATATAATTGTTCTGTGTGAAACGTGGCTGGATTATGACTTCAAATTTTTATTAAATGGATATCAAACTATTAACTCTATTGGAAAATTAAATAAAAGTGATGGAGTTACTATATTTGTTAAAGAACCTATTAAATTAACTAATATAAAAGAAAATGTTATATCTAATTGCAATTCAATTGAACTATCATTTGAATATCTCAGCAATAATTTTATTATTACTTGTATTTACAGGTCTCCAAATGATAATACCTGTCTTTTTTTGGACGGACTAGAAATGTACTTAAATAGTATCAATAAATCCCACCGTTCTATCATTTGCGGCGATATAAATATCGATATTCTTAATCAAAATAATTCTCTTACCTCAATTGAGTATCTAAATATAATGGCATCTAAAGGCTTTATTTCGTGCATAAATAAATATACTTGTGTCTCCAATACGTCACAATCGTGTATAGATCACATGTTTATTAATAATATATATACGGACAGTGTAAATTCATATATTTTAAAATCTGATGTAACTGATCATTACGCTACTATATTATACATTCAAAATGATGCTGATAAAAAATTATCTGAGATAGGAAATAAAATTAACATAGATCACTTAAATATGCTCATTAGCATTGAAGATTGGGATAATTTACTATGTAATAACGATGTAAATAAAGCATATGAAACATTTAATAACATAATTAATCAACTTATTTCCCTATCATTATATAATATTACTGGACCATATAAAAATAATAATAATAATAATAAAAACTTAAAGAATGGATTACACATGGTCTAACAGTCTCAATCAGAAATAGAAATAAATTATCTTCTATATTACGTAATAGACCTTTTGATAGGGAATTAAAATTATCTTATACTCGGTATCGTAACCTACTAAATAATTTAATAAAAAAAGCAAAAATTTTACATTACCAAAAAAAATAATGGCAGCTGGTAATGAATCTAAATCTATTTGGAGAATCTTAAAGGAAGTTACAGGAAAAAAAAGTAATCCATATAACAATAAAGGTATATACAGCAATGATACCTTAATATATAATGAAAGAGACATTTGTGACACTTTTAATAGATTCTTTGTCAGAGTAGGTAGTGATATTGAAAATAATATTAGATCTAAAGGGTTTGTCGAAAAACCATGGAAAGCCTTAAACAACAAGTGTGATATTGCAGATTCAATTTTTTCCAAGCCAATAAATGTTGCTGAAATCGAGCAATATATTAATAAAATTAAAGATAGAACCTCATTTTTTGAGCATGGATTAACTAATTATATCTTAAAAAAAACTGCTATGACAATATCTTACCCTTTATCTTATCTTTTTAATTTGTCTATCTCACAAGGAGTATTCCCCTCTTGTTTCAAAAAAGTGTTGTGTTACCTATATTCAAATCTGGTGACCCCTTGGATTGTGGTAATTTTCGCCCTATTGCGCTATCTTTATCTATATCTAAAATATTAGAAAAGTGTATTAAGAGTAGGATACTGATATTCCTGAATAAAAATGAGTTTTTCTCAAAAAACCAGTTCGGATTCTTACCTGACAGATCAACCAATGATGCTCTGTTCCTGTTCAACAAAGTCCTGCATGACAATTTAGATTCTAATAAAAAAGTTTTAGGTATATTTCTTGACATAAAAAAAGCGTTTGATAGTGTCAATCATGCTATACTTCTAAAAAAGCTATACCGGGCTGGCTTTAGAGGAAATATTTATAATCTAATGCAATCATACTTATCAAATAGGACACAATTAGTAAAAATAAATAATACATACAGTAACTAATTGTACATTTCGCATGGTGTTCCTCAAGGTACCGTTCTAGGTCCCATTTTATTTATTATTTATATAAATGGCTTATTAAATTTGAATGTTAATTCTAAAATTATTAGTTATGCTGATAACTGTAATTCTTGTAACAGATAAATCCACTGATTTGTTATACTCTAATGCTAACAGAATTATAAACAGTGTTAAAGTATGGTTTGATAACAATCTATTAGAGTTAAACCTTAATAAATCTAAATATATACTTTTTAATAGTACTTCTGAATTTAACTTATACAATAAAATAACCGTTCACTCAGTGCAATGTAATAGAACCTGTAGTAACTGTATAATATTGGAACAGGTTAACATTATAAAATACTTAGGTATAACCATTAACAGTAAGCTAAAATGGGCCTCTCATATAAATAATTTAACAAACACTGTTAGAAAATTTTTCTTTATTTTTCATGATGTCAGATTCTTATTTAATATTCACATCAAACGCTTACTATACCTATCCCTAACCCAATCTATTGTTAATTATGGTATTTGTATCTGGGGTCAAGCATATGATTCATATACTTATCGGCTTAAAATCACACTCAATAGGTTAATTAAATTTTTATTATTGAGACCTATATATTATAGTAATGATTCTGCTTATTTAGAACTTAATGTTTCATGCTTACAAAATTTATACTATAAAAATATCCTATTAGCTTATACAGATTTAAGCATAATCTAGCTAGAGTTAATCACTCATATAATACTCGATATAAAGAGAATATTAATATTTGTGTGCCTATTTCTAAAAAGCAATTAGGTCTAAAAAGTTCTATATCCACAGCATCTCTGATATGTAAACAGCTGAATATTAATATTTATAAATACAAAAATATATGTATATTTAAATCTTTTCTGAAAACTTTAGATCTCACATACTTAAATTTGTGATAAAATGTCTTAATTGATATAAGCTTTGTGATTATACCGTACTATGTTAATTGATTTAAATATGTCTTTGATTATACCGTTTTACTAAACATGTTTTTCTTAGTTTTACTTGTGTAAATCTTATAATAATTTGTGTTATTTTTTTTCCAATCTTGTATTGTACTCAAACTTTTACACCCCCCAAAACAAGCTTATGCTTAAAGGGGAGTTGCAAACATTGTGTCATATATATTTATTCTAATATTTTTATGTAAATGTATATTGTTTTTGCTAAAATAAACTTATATTATTATTATATTATTATTATACCGTTTAACGTATACCGGTATGTATCGATAAATACCGCTCGTTCGGTATATACCGCTTGCACTGTAAATACCGGTTGCTTGAATATATTTAACTATGCGGTATCGTTTGGTAACTGTGGTAACCGTGATTATTTTACACGCCACGGTGTAGTCTGAACCCATTTAATACAAAATTACTTTATATTACCTAGGTATACAACTATTGACTTATTACTTTTTTCTTCATTTTAAAAATAAAATATAAATGAACTTGCTAATTAATAATATAATTTTTTAAGTTTGTACCTATACAATTTCTGAATTTCATAAATATTTAGATATTAAATAGGTATTAAACATAATAATAAAACATAAGTCCAATTGTGTCTGCTGTGTTTTATATTATAACCTGACAACATATTTTACATATAATAACAAAGTTAACATTAAAACATAAATAATATCAATATGATGTTTGCAATGATGTAAAACAAATGAAAGCAAAGTTAGTTTGAAAAAAATATGTTTTAAGTTTTTGTGTAGGTACCTAAATGAAATAAATTTAATATTATTGATAATGTTATAGATTTGGTAAAGCTTCTAATATGTAGTATATGAGTGTTACTTCTGTTGGTAAAATGGTTGCTATACCTTATTTTGTAGCTTTATGGTTTAACGCATTACCGCTTATATGAATACATCAAAATAAATATTTCATAATGATCATCAATTGAGTAGTTTTAGTTATATATTTTATAAGTTTTTTACTATTATATTTTAATGTATACAAACTGATATTTAAGTAAAATAAATAAAATAATGAACATATTTAAAAATCTATAAAATATAGGTACCTACATTTATAATTTGTAATAAATAATAAAAATGCAAGAATTAATTGATCTTATTGGTTTTTTTTTTTTTTTTTTTTTTAAATAAGTATAATTAATTAAATTAGTTAATAGGTATATGTATTTATTTTAAATGTTTATTAAACAGAATCATGGTAGTTAAACTGTAGGCATAAATTACTTATGTGATTATTAATTCATATTTTAACATTAAAAATGTATTCTTTACAATTAATAAATACCTACAATTGAAAGTAATTAAATATGCTAACTAATAAAATATTTATATGATCTTAACAAATATAAAAAAACATTTTAATTTAAGTTTAACTAGTAAGTAGGTAAACCATAATCCTTAGCATGTACTACCTTATTACATAATTTAAATTTTCTTTTGCCACATCTTACATTATTGTAATAGAGTACAATTAAAATAACATTAAAATATAAATAATATCAATTAAATGTTATTAAGAGGAAGTCTTTTAATTTACCAAAAAATGGGAAATTTTTGCTAAAAATATTAATTGTTCGGCATGGATTTCAGACAGCAAGGATCGTTTGTTTGTAATAACATTTCCTCCATAGCTAAACAACCTTTCACATGGTACACTAGTACCTTGGACGCATAGATACCTTTTTGCTAACTGAGATATGTTTGGATACTCTGAATTGAATACTTTCCACCAGTTTAGAGGATCTGTAACCAAATCTACCTTGGCATTTGGTTGTATTTTTCAATCTCAGTTTCAAAAATATTCTCATCATTTGAAGCTGAATTAGAGGGTAAACTTGTACTCAAAAATGAAGCTATATCTATGAATGATAAAGAAGTAATTATTATTTTTTACTACATAAACAAACTATTAACCTTACCAGAATAACTTTTTTTTTTTGATGGTGGTGATGAACTTGGGTCGACAACTTTCATACCATTAAGTTCCATTTCTGCGACAAGTCGTTTCTTAACCATATACAACTCATAACCAATTAAACAAGATTTATAGCAAGGATCCAAAAATGATGTTAGCTGTTTTATTGTTTGGTTCTAATATTTTCATTGAAACGTTTAGAAAGTTTTCCAAATATAGCATCAGATACCAATTGTTCAACATTTTCTAATTCTTGAATTAATGTTTGACTTAAAATTTCCTCTTCACAATCTTCTGTAGAATTATCATTTATCTGAGAAAAGAAGTCTGAAGTTTCTTCTAGCGTAGGTTGATTATCGAGTATACTTTCTTGCGAGTCAGGAAACAAGGGAGTTGAATTATTTTCAGCTTCTTCATTAATAGATACACTTTGTGAATGACTTTCATTTGCCTGCTTATAAAATTGTAATTTTAACTGCTGATATATGGGCCATAATGAAGATATTGTTACATTTTTTTCTGAAGCCATAGCTTCACCCAGTTGTTTTAATGGATTCAAAATACATAACAAACGATCAATTAATTGTAAGTGGTTAAAGGTAGGTAAAATCTTTTAGTGTTTAGGAGTAGTTAGTATTAGTAGATACATTGTGTATGATCTGGCGCAGCCGGTTTTTTTTACAATCAAAAAATCACCTTAAAATTAGATTATTTCAACATTTTTACATCAAATTTTGATTTTTTTACATCGAATTTTGAGTGCTTTTTTGTATACAATTTATATACAAATACAATGATATTTCATATATTTTAAATAAAATTACATACATTTTAGAAAACATTTAGAAACATTAGAAAAATACAGAATTTAGAAATATTCCAAGAAAATTATTCAAACAATTTATATATATTTTAAACATTACAGCCAAGCAGCTTCCGCCATATATTTGCTTATCGTTATAGGAAATATAATATATATGACAAATATTCCAATACGTTTTCATAGTAAATATGATATCATTTATAATATTCTCAATCAAGAGTAATGAGCACACCCATGTCATTAAAGCAGAATACAGCCAATGAGAGCCGATTGTATGAACACACCTATCACCCCAGAAACTACTAGAGATAATTTAGTTAATAAATACAGGCCACGCAGTTTAATTTTTGTCATTCGCAGTATGCCTATAAACGGTTAACACAGTTAACACCTGCAAATAAATAGCAAGGAAGCCACTTGGGTATCAAATGTATATAATAATTTTCCTCCAATGAATTAAACATAAAAAATGTAAAAAATATAAAAGAATACAAAATAAAGTAGGTTTTTGAGCAGTTGTTTTAAGATGATGTTTTATGATTTAGATGTTGAAATGTTGAGATGGTGGAAACTTGTGTATAAGTACAAGTACCTGTTACTGTCTAGTTTTATGTATTAAACATCAATTCGCTTTTATTTACAGAAAATTTCGAGTAGCAATAGGTATTTAGTTTGAAGTTTTGAGATTTTGTATTGAGACGTATATTGGATTGAAATGTTGCCGATGTTGTATTGAGATATTGAATTGAAATCCCAGTATTTATAGATGATAACTTTTGGTAGATGTTGAATTGAAAAGGTAATTTTTATAGATGTTGAAAATCTAGCTATCAAACTTAAACTCAAAAGCATAATTAATAGCATGATGTAATTAAAAAAAATTTGTATATAAATAAATATAAAAATGAATCGAAATAATAAAATTATCCGTATCTATGAGTTGATAAATAACGATGAGGTATTATTGCAGTCTTTGAAAGCAGGAGATGTATATTTATGTTCAAAATGTGAAACATTCAAGAGTGTTAATGAATTTAGTAAAAACCAAAAATGGTGGAAAAGTTGTATGAAAACCAAAGTTAGCAATGAATTGGTAGAATGTGAATGTGGTCGAGTAATGAATTTAAGAGCCCATAAGAGGCATTTGTTAACTAAATCTCACTCAAAAAGGATGGATAATATGATTAAAGAGAACACTCCTCAAGAATAATTTTCGTTATTAAAAAATTTACTTATTAAATAAAAACAAAAATTTCTATTTAAATAAAAATAACTTTGTCAATAAACTATATTAATAAATGGATAATCAGGTTTCAATAAGATTTATAAAAACTGAGGAAAAAATAAAGACATAGATGTTTCAAAATGGTTTAAGTTTTTTCAAGCACATAATAAATATTTAAATAAAAGTGATAAACAGATAAAACATTTTTTAAGAAACTATACATTTTGCATACAATATGGAAAGAAAATTGCTACTCAGAATTTGGAAGGATTGTATAGTATTTTAATAGGAAAAACGTCATATCACTAAACATGTGGGCTACAAAATTGTTCCTGTACAAGTATATGATAAGGCGCGTCTATTAGTTTATATGGTCGAAGGTTTCATATTACGTCGTGGTGATATTATTATACTGATAAGTGTCAAGTGATAATATATTATCTATGAATATAATAATTAATAATATCTAGTCTTTATTTTTTTAAAAGCACAAGTTTGAAGTGTGAACTGTGAAGTTAGTACAAGTTACTACCTTACTTAATACTTATAACTAACGTAAATAAGTTTACAACATTTAAATTTACAAGTCAAAGATCCAGAGCCAAAAACCTGAAAAGTGGTCGAATGACCAAATAGAGACGTTGATTGATGCATATAAGGAAGAGCTTTGCTTATTTGCAACAAATCTGACCACATATCACAATAAGCACTTAAGAGCATATGCCATGGAACGTGTATATAAAGCTGTGACAAGCTAAAGGCCATTAACAAATACAAAAGAATGTTCAACAAAATTCGACAACCTACGAAACCAATTCAACATTGAAAATGCCAAAGTTAAAACATCATTTAAAAGCAAGACTGGTACTGATAACGTAATTATTTTTAACAAGTTTTGTATTTAGGGTATTTTAAATAAGTTGTTATTTACCACAAAGGTGCCGAAATATAAAAATATATCTAGGGTAAATTATATTTGACTATCCACTAACTCACCTAACCTAAATTCCTATTTAAGTTTCATGTTTCTTAGTAGCATTCTAGGAGGCAGTTATAACTTTAATACAGAAAAGAGTTTATAAAACTGCTTTATGCCTTACACCATAAAAAAATTATATGGTTGAATGGTACAGTAACCCGCCACTCGTCCCGACTTGTCACAATTAGAATTTGGAAACGACACCGAAACACGCGCAAAACTAACCAAGATATTAAATAAATACGCGGTAGTATTCAGCGAAAAAGTAGGACGTACCAAATTAATTGAACACGAAATTATGCTAAAAGACCCATCACCGATCGCGCTCAAAGCATACCCATATCCGCAGCAGAAACAAACTGCTATCGACGATATGGTGCGCGATATGGAACTACACCGGTAGTATTGGCAAAGAAAAAAGACGGAACATTTCGTCATTGTGTCGACTACAGGCGGTTTAACGACGTAACGGAATCCGACGCGTACCCTATGCCAGATCTCAACAAAATGATTAGGCAAATGAGGGGCGCGAAAATTTTCAGCATTTTTGACCTTAGGTCGGGGTACTGGCAAGTTCCAGTACACGAAAATGCGCGAAAATACACGGCTTTCCGAACACGTAGAGGTCTATTTCAGTTCAGAGTCCTCCCCTTCGGTCTAAAAAATAGTCCAATGACTTTCGTGAGACTCATGAACGAGGGGGTACCAAAATGATTTCGTACAAGTTTACCTAGATGATATTGTAGTATTCTCAAGGGACGAGTACGAACACCAGGCCCACCTAGACAATGTTCTCGAGCACCTCAAGAGATTCGGATTAACGTGCAACACAAAAAAATGTAAAATCGGTCTTCGCGAAATTTCATTTTTAGGGCACATAGTAGACTCGGAGGGCATACAAAAACAACCTGAAAAATTGGTATGCATTGACAATTTTCCGGTTCCCAAAAAAGTTAGGGACGTACGTAAATTTTTGGGCGTGTGCAATTGGTACAACCAGTTCGTAGATAATTACGCGGATACCATAGCACCCCTCACCAATTTATTAAAACAGGGGGTACGGTGGAAATGGACAGATGTAGAACAACGCGCGTTCTAATCAATAAAAAACGCGCTAGTCACATCACCAAAATTGTCGCCACCCGATTATAGCAAACCGTTTTGTCTACAAACTGACGCAAGCGAAATAGGAGCCGGGGCGGTACTTTTCCAACGGGGTGACAGACCGGAGGAAAGACGCATAGTGTCCTACGCAAGCAAAAAGTTTAGCGAAACGCAAACAAGGTACGCCGCGGTCGAACGCCTAGCAATAATCTGGGCGACAGACAAATTCCGTCCATACCTAGAAACCCGACGTTTTGAACTCCTAACAGACAACTCGGCACTGACATGGTTACACAAGGCTAAAGACAAAAATTCAAAATTAACACGTTGGTCACTACAACTAGCTAATTTAGATTTTAGTACGGTACACGTCCCGGGAATACAAAACGAAGCACCCGATTTGTTATCCCGCGACCCGGCACCGGGCACACCTGTAGACGAAGATCGACTCGAGGAAAAATTGGTAGGGGCACCTGTAACGCCGACAACCAATGTTGACCCCGAGTCGGATCGCATCTTCTCCATGTTCGATAACCACGTCATTGACGACACACCACTCACCCCGTCAACGCTCGAAAAGTGGCAGTCCGAAGACGCCACGATTGGTGACATAGTCGCCGGTCATAAGTGGGATGGACCAACGCGGAACACTAGGAGCACAAAATCGGGAACAAACACATATGTTTTTTCCGACGGTCTCTTACGCGTAAACGTAGGCCCCCACACACCCATCGTGATACCGAAAACAAAATTACAACACGTAATTTGAAGGTGTCACGATCACGTCCTATCCAACCACCCGGGTTGGAAAGAGACATACCGGGCGGTTCAACAACGGTACTATTGGAAAGGGCAAAAAAATGACGTAAAGTTATATGTCGGTGCGTGCCACATATGTTCGTGCACGAAACCACTAAACACACGTCCCACCGACCCAATGCAACCAAGAACCCCCCGGCAACCATGGGAAGTTATCAGTGTCGATTTAATGGGCCCATACCCACGTTCCGGTAAGGGAAAATCGTACATACTGGTAGCAAACGACTGTTTTAGTAGGTGGACCGAGGCTTATCCCTTAGGAACAGCGACCTCTAAAACAATAATCGAAACGTTAGAGCGCGAGTTCTTTTCGCGTTTCGGTTACCCCCGCGTGTGTCTCAGTGATAACGGCCCACAGTTTGTGTCAAACGAAATGATAAACGCATTAGAACGCTGGGGGGCACAGGGTTGGACGACTCCAGTCTACCACCCGAGGGCCAACCCTGTTGAACGCCGTAATCAAGATTTAAAAAAAGGTTTGCGCGCACAACTAGTCGACGGCAAACATAAATCTTGGGACACAAAACTACCCTCAATTCTTTTTACGATACGGAAGAGGTGTGTAGTAAGCGAGTTACT